GCTTAATACTAAGATGATTCATATTCCCTTATGTACTGCTTTAAAAAAAAAAAAAAGGCAAGCGGGAGGAAGCAAAAATATATGAACATCTTTTTTCAGATGTTGCTGTTGGTCTTACTCAAATGCTAGGCACTTCTATATCCAGTACTTTTATTATTTCTTTAATACCATCTTTTAACATTTCTTAAATGTTGATAAAATATAAATCTCTTCTCCTATATCTGTCTATCCTAGAAGCTTATTAAGTAATAACAAATGTATTAGGCTTCCCTTGGGTTTGTTTATTTAGGACTGTTGTTACACATTTAAAGCTTTTTCTATAACGTGGATTCAGTAGAGATTTTAGCTTCAATGAGGTTGAGAGGAAAGGAATACTGATATATGGAGTGGCAAAACATGGTATATTCAGAGAATGGCAACATATTTCACATTTTTAAAAATTATTGCAGAGCTGCGAGATGGAAGTTGTTGTTCCCCATCTCCTGTCAGTAATAGAGAAGAATTTGCCTGGGTCCTCTTGTACCCCAGCATTGAATGGTGTACTTTCCTTTCTGCCTGTCTTTTTCCTTCTCTCACTATTATCCATTTCCTCTGTATTACCACTTTTGTTTCCACATGATCTTCTTTGCTCTTATAGGGTTCCATTTTTCAGCCAATAATTATGCAAAGTTGAAACAGGTGACTTTCCTACTAATAAATTGTTAAAAATGTAGACTGTTTAAACATTTCTGTCTTTTCTGTTCTTAATTTAATTGTACTTGTTATTAAGAGCTGCCCTCTGTTGTTAGAGCTTCCACTTTTAATTTCTCTTGTATTTACATGTGCATGTATACAGGTTATGTACATTTGTTAAAGAAAATTGTAATGTTAACTTCCTTTTCTTATTGCTAAAGGAACGTGAAAAAAGAAAGCATGAAAGGATTCTTAGTGAAGAACTTGTTGCTGCTGTGACATACCTCAACCAGTTTTTACCCCCAGAGCATGCCATTATATATATACCCTGGGATATGGCCAAATACACAAAAAGGTAGAAAAGCTCCTTCTTTTTAGTAGTGCTTTTAGCCGCAATACAAATAACTGTATGCAGCCAAGTGTGTCACTTCCCAGTTGAGTGGAGCTTAGAAATGATGGGAGAATTTTATTAAGATGTAGAAACAGAATAAAACCTCAGCTTTTTGAAGGATTTCTACTGTTTTTTTATAGTTACTTAACAGAGTGGAGCAAGGCCTGAAAAACAGTGAAATTCTCTGCAAAGGAAAATTTTAGAGAAAAGCCATGAAAATGCCATCAACATTCACTTTTTATTTTTATTTGGTCAAAACACTGCATTTTGTCAGGTGTTCTGTTTCAGTCACTGAATTTATAAAGTTACAAAATTTTGGGAAACAAGAGGCTTCATATTAATCAGTCTTTTCCAAGAGGAAATAAGGACTTTAATTTCAATGTTATAAACCACGTAGTTTAGTAGAAGCATGTAGTTTAGTAGAAGCATGTATCTTAGAAAGGCAAATACGTTCTCTAACTTTTTGTTCTATCATTTTGGACAATTGAATGCTGCACTCACATTGTGTGAAAAGGATGAATGTCTTTCCAAATGTAGAAAGACTTACAAGGCACAAGCATTTTGGATCTACAGTTATAGATTGCTATTCCTAAGTAATACACAACCTGTTTGTAAAGTTCTCTGATCTGCCTATGTCTACTGTATCCAACAATGCCAGAGACTCTAGAAGAATGATAGGAATTGTTGAATCAGTTTTCAAGTATCTGTTACTATAGGATAGTAGGCAGGAATATAATTGAAGTTCATTGATTACAGTGTTATGAAAAAAGCTTTGGAAAAAAATCTTCATTTTCTGTTTGAGAGTACGTGTTGATTGATGTGGTTGGTCGTGTAGATGTGAAACTTACTTTGAAGTTGGACATGGTTTCACACTACCTTTTTTTATTCTAAAATGGCATTGTGTGCAACTAGGTGTATGTGCAGTTGTTTGTGTTACGATTAAATAGCAAATCTCAAAATAAGGCTAGATTTCCTTTCAGACAATATGCTAGATGCAGATTCTTGGGTTTCATGTGGACTGTTGCTGATGAAGCTTAGTGATCTGTCCTATATGGGAAATGATCCTAGGTGATCAAAGGATTCCCCTTCTAGCTTTAAGCTTGGGGTATAGTTATATACATATCCTTCCTAGTACAGATGTAAAAAACCATCTGAGGGCTTTGAACAAGGTTAATTATTTATGCAAGCAAGAGACATTTAAGAATGGAAGATAATGTATATTATCGTAATATATACCTAAGTGACAGTTCCGGGAGTATTGAGGATGTATTTGCTTTAGCATGTACTTTTGAAGTAAGTTTGCTGAAAACTGGTAGTTGTGCTTGGAAATGCTCCAGAGTATTACTTCCATCTCCATACAAGCCACCTTTAAAAAATACGTGATTAGTTTTTTACTTGAAATGTAAACACTGTAATAAAAATTTTGAAGATTAAATTTGAGTAAACAGAAGCTGAAGTCCCCCACAATGAAGAGACGGATGCCCTGGTCTGGGCAGTAGGTGCAAGACATCGTGAAGGCCACACATGGAAACAAATGTTACTGAAAAAGACGGTACCTTGCAAACAAAATGAGGGAATATAATTTAACATAATCATATTTCCTTTTCTGCTCCATTCTTGTTTTTTGAATCACAGACAGTTTGGCAGAGGGAAATTAGTGTGTTAAAAAAGTCAAGGAGTTGTAGATTTTTGAAGTCTTCTAGTTTATATTGTAAAAAGTAAACAGAATTGCTAAGACATGGTCAGTGTCTGCTTCCTATGTCTGTAAAATCTAAGAAAACTATAGACTTAGTTACTGTTGGATAAATAAAGCTGTGATATAAGTGCCTTTAAATAAATAATTTTTGTTATTAGAAGACTCTCCAAGCAGTGAACTTTTTTTTTACTATTAATATATCTTGACTGTGAATTTTTTTTCTCTCCCCAGCAAACTTTGCAATGTCCTTGATAGACTGAATGTGATTGCAGAAAGTGTAGTAAAGAAGACTGGATTTTTTGTAAATCGACCCGATTCCTATTGCAGTATCTTGCGGCCAGATGAAAAGTATGTATCATTTAATTGGTGCATAATGAATAACATCTATTCCTTGGAAAGTTGTTTGGAATTTCTATCTATTCCTTTATTCTTATTTTAAGGCTTAGTTTAACATAAAAAAATACAATTCATTATTAAGTTACGGCTAAAAGGTTTGCAGTTGGAGGTACATGCAAAGAACTACTAATACACTGAAAGAATGCAATTATGTTGCTGCTATCCTGCTCATAATGAATTCTTACTTCAAAACAGTATTTGTAACTTGTAATCTGTGCCATGTGTGTTTATATAAAGGACTGGGATTTTTTTACCTTAACCAAAGGAATCCTAAATTTGGGGGCAAGTTTAACAAACCAAACAACATTTGGTATTTAATAAGTGGCTTCTTTTGAGGTATACTAGTAAGGTAACTGTCATCTAAATGTTACTGAGTCCAGTGTTTTCTAATGGATTTGATGATATTCATACATACAGAAATAAAAATTTCTTGTGCATTCAAGACCAAATCTAGCAACATTTATGTTGCTCATACTCTGTTCTGTAGGGAGCAAAGGAAATACTTTGTATGGCTTTGGAATGTCTATTTTAAGGCTAGATTTTTTTTAACTTTTTTTGCAATACGGTTTAAATACAACATATTGCTGCTGCATAGAGCTTTCACTGCTTTCTGCTATTCAGGGAATATCAGTTTTGCTTTGTGGCAAGTTTTTAATTGTCACTGTTTTTCACTGGACAGATCAATACATGGTATGATTTGTTATTTTCAAAAGTGACTTGTAAGTCATTCTGTTTCTCTTCCAGGTGGAAAGAACTGGGAGGTTATGTTGTTACCACTGGTCGCTTGCAGGTACTAAAATATGCTTTATTAATTCATAGTTATAGTGATGTAGATTAGAATTCCCAAAGCACCAGTGAACCGTTTCACTGAAATACCTGATTGGTGATTCACACAGTGCTCTTAAATTAATATTTATAGTAAACAACATTACTGCTGCCTGTCCTGGAAATCCAATTGGGAAATAGGCCTTAAAGTTCTTGCATGGTACTGCAAAACACTGTACTGTTGAAACTGTATTTTTGCTGGAGGTAGTCTGAGAAATAATCTCATCTTGAACTAGTTTCCATTGCTATTTAGTCTGTAATGTTACCCATGCAGTGAAAGTTAAACCAGCAGCATTTTAGCAAACTGCATGTTTTACAGAAGAAGTGATGAATATGTAATATTTTACATGTAATATGTAATATTTTACATGTTATATGTAACTTAAGCCTAGTGACATATTCATACACATAAAAATGGATTATCAAAAAGCATTTTCACCAGTGCTGAATATTCTGTACATTGTTATACTTTTCCATCACTGAAAAAAATGAAACTAGAAACAGTGCTCTCTTTAAAGCCAGAGAAATGCTGATTAAGCTGTAAACTATACAGTACCAGATTTATGTTATGTTTACATACTCTGAACACAAGGCCTATTCTTAAGAAGCATGCTTTTGACTTACCACTCATAATTTTGTCGTTCATTTAAGTTAGAAAGCACATGGTTATTACTGGCAGATCACTGGGATATGCTTGTAGGGGATAGACAAACAATGGAGTTGATAGAATTTGATCTGTTAATGTTAGTCTTACAAATTTATCTGTGTTAGAGGAATGATTATTTTATCTCTTTCAACTTTTAAACATTTGAGGTAGTCACCACTGGCACACACATAAGCATTTGGATCAGAGTTCATCTCGGAATATACATCTTGTGAATCACATCCAAAAAGTGTTTCTTTACTGAGGCAATGAAAGTTTCTTTAGTTGACTAGCTTGGATATAGTCATATATATTTTAGCAGAAGAAACTACAATGCTACTATGTTAAAATGTGTTTCTTGCAGCTGTTCATATTATAAAATAACTTTGTGTGCATTATGGAATTGAAGAATAGTGGTACAAGCAGCATAATATAATATGTGCATGGCTGTGACCTTCAACAAAACACTAATGTGTGTTCATCCAGATATGGAAAGCTTAAAATACAAGCGCCATCACAACAGAACCACAACAAGTTACAAGTGTGCTTTATTTTTTTGCAGTAGTTACAGCATACTTGAAAATAAGTCCTGCTTAATTGCAATAGCATAGTGCTTCTTTTTAAGATAAATCTTTAGGGCTCTTCGTGAGTTGAAGGAGAGATGCAATTTGTGTAATGATAGAAGCAAGAATATTTTTAAAATAGGCGTTACCACTGTCTGATATAGCTTGCTAGAGATTAATTATTTTTTAACATTTTTTAGAAATGTCTTTCCTCAAATTTTTGTGAACTGACGTAACTTGAGATTTTACAAGTTTCAGAGAGTAGGAAAAAAGTAATAATCATGAGAGTAATAATTTGTTAATTAAGAAAACTATCTTTTTTGGATTGTTTTACCAGACGGGAGTTCTTCGAACCAATTGCGTGGACTGTTTAGATCGCACTAACACAGCCCAATTTATGGTGGGAAAATGTGCTTTGGCATACCAACTCTATTCCTTGGGATTGATTGATAAACCCAATTTACAGTTTGATACGGATGCTGTTAGGTAAGTTGCAGTAATAAAGTGTATCAAGCCTCTATTTTTTAATTTGTGTCAAGAGATTTAGGAAACAAAATGATGTCTATGTAGAAGAAAAGTGCAGTTCTTTCTAGTGGAATGATTTAATAATGTTTACTCATCCAAGTTTTAAAAAGTCTTCCATATTTGAAATCTTGAAAATATTCATATATGAAAATTTTCACACTGAAAATTTGCAATTCTGGCGAAGTACGTTAATCAGGCTTATGACAAGATAACTACTTGACTGCATTCTTTTTATATGCCTAGACTTAAAAGCTAAGAGTTTTCCTTATAAATAAATCTAACAAAAACCCTATCCCAGTCTTTTATACTTATTTGCTTGAGACAAAATGCTGACAAAACCTGAAAACTGAAGTATATGCTTCATGAAGAACGCCAAACTGATATTTGTGTAGGAGTACATCTTGGCTTGCTATTTCCTACTTTTACTTTGGAAAAATTTTGTGCTTCTTGATTTATTGAAGAAAAGTTTACAACAAAGTTGTTCTCTCAGATGAAGTGTCAGATTCTCAGATTCAAGCATCCTCAAACCATTTAAGAAAACCTGGCCTTTAAAACTGAAATGCTTTGCAGGTCAGGGGGAACCAAGATACTTAAATGGTGAATATGCTTCCAAAATCCCCTTGAGGTGATGTAGATTTTTTCCTTCAAGCTGTTGTCGTGACTCTGAAACTTACAGCTTCGTTGCTGTTCTGACTGGTGGTTTGATAGTTTTAGAACATGGAGTCCTAACTTGTATTTCAGAAAAGGCATTTCTGAAACTCCGGTCTTCCCTCCCCTTTACTCAAGACTTCAGCTCTCCCATGAGCTTCCAGCACTTGCCTAGTGCCAGGAGCTGATATGTGCCACTGAAACAGCCTCACTTGTGGCACGCTGGCTCCCTGTGCAAGTGGTGGCTCCTGGCCTCTGGCTGGCATCTTTGGTGTGCTACCAATGGCTCTCATGCACCATGTCCCAGCTGCTATGTGCTGGCATGTTTCACTTGCAGCCCAGAAAGCCAACCA